TTTCAGTTTTTCATTCTTTTTCAAGCAGTGGTCACTTAATCTTTAAGGCATAATAATCCCACAATAGTCACAATAAACAGAATTTCCCTTGCAACAGCGATAAAAAATATCAAGTTTATAAGCATGCCTGTTTTTAAGATTCCTATGATCAACTGTGACAGAAATTAAATTTTAATGAGCCTGTGGAAATGGCAGGAGAAGTGTACAATACAGAAATAATCAAACGTAGAAATGTTCCTAATAACTGAGTTTTTAGCTTTAAAGTTTAAATACTACATTCGGTGCTCTATACACCATAACAACAAAAACCAGTAATAGGGTGGAATTATATACCTCTGGCATTTTGGTATTCAAGTCCTCATATGGCAAATAAATAGATGAATTGGCCTCAACATCATATACTCCCTCTGCTCTCATTACAATATAGCCAATTTTCTTCTAGATCTCCTCCTGTTAATATGATTAGTAGCAAATGCATCTAATAAGTACCACTGGAGAATCATTATATATATATATAACACATATCACTTAAGAATCAGGCAGAGCTCAACCTTGTAATGCTAATTGATATAAGACCTATAGAGTAAAGAAATATCTACATGACATGAGAAGTGACATGAAATTTTTTGATCACATGGAAAATGCAGACAAAATACATGACAGACTAAAAGAGACCAGAAACCGAAAATAAACAGAATCTAGATGAATTGATCTGTTGAAAATTGGCAGCACATGTACAATATCAATTTGTTTTGAACTTCATCAACAAGTTTTCTTAGCATCTCCTTGCTGAGGAATAATAAAATGCAATATCTAAAGTTATCTATATAATTAAAAGACTTGCCTCCAATAACAGATTCAATAATAGAACATTAAGGTTATTAATGATGTAATTAGGCCTACCTTTGAATCATTTTCATCAAAGATTTCTTCAACAATCTCCTCAACCACATCTTCTAAGGTTACTATCTGCTCCATCAAAAAATGAGTACATGAATATATAAAATCAATCAGTCAATAAAATGAGCACAAACACTGTTAAATAAGCAATCCAAAAGAGAAAGAAAACCCATGCATGGTAAGTTCTAGACTTTTTGTGTTCTCATGCTGCATATTGCACTCTTATCTGAACTTTAGAAGAAAACCCATGAGAAAAATGCTATAATATCTGGTTTCTCAGTTTCTTTATGACAAAATGCTGCTGGTATTTTATTTTTATTTTATTAAATTTTAGGGGATGGGGAAAAAAAGCCATTATCTGGTGCAGATAATAATTAGTCTCATTACCAAATCTTAATTGCAACTGCTTTAGAAAAAAAAAGCTAAAGGATAAATAAAATTGTTCCCAATTCAACCCTTCTCTATACCCTACTCAAGT